TTACGAAATATTTTGTCTCCGCCATAATTGAAATGATAGGTTACTTGAAGAGGATGATTGAGGGTGTGATTTCGGCTCCGATAGTTGGGTCCTGATGCGCTTACACGATCGGAGCCATGTCAGGACTCAACCCTATCGGAGTTCAACCCCGAGGGTTTAGTGAAGCCGAACTTGGCTAGAGTCCGAACGCGTTCACATGGCCATTTTTGCTGGCTCGAGTCATAGGGCTCCGATAAAATGCTGTCGTGTGAATGTAGCAAATAATCATCATCATCATAGTTTATTTGCTAAATATATTGAAAATATACATCAAAATTGGATTTGCAGTGCGCACTAAAATACAACCATTGGCTTGATGCAGCAAAGACTATGTCGAACAGCTATGGGGTAGAAGCCTTTGGCTGACCGGGACGATGTGGATGCCAGAGATCGATAGCGCCTGCCGGACGGTAGAAGTTTGAACAAATCAAACACAGGATGAGACGTGTCACCGATGATTCATTCGGCTCGCTCGTCCAGGCGTTTCCTGTACACATCGCATAGAGGGGGAAGCTGGATCCCAATAATACGCGGCGCTCCTGCCACCACATCGTCCAGGAGCCTCTGGTCTTTGTAACTGATGTTACCAAACCACACCGGGATGGAGTGAATGTGAATACTCACTTTCAAAATTACAAGTTTTTATAAAAAAAGCAAAGCCAGCTGTTGGACAGAACTGTACTTTATGCAACCATAGTATTTTGAATTATGGTCAAATAATACTATTTAGAGTATGGCCATAATCTAGTTAGTTAATCTCAGCTCATCTCATAAAAGTTGAGTATTTATTATTCATAATTAATTAAGTAAACAAATGAATCACATTCACTATTTACTTGTTGTATGATCATAATGGTTACCGCTAAGTATGGTCATGACAAACACACTTTTGAAACAGTATTTCCTGAAACTTTGCTAAATTATACTTGAGATTGAAATTCCTAAATTCCAAAGAAAATAATTTGTGCACCCTAACTAGTTTTTGGCTTATGAACCAGAACTGTATCATATTTTAATGTTATGAAGAAATCACAGAATAATTGATCTGAATCTAATGAAAACAATTTTGGATTTTCATTCTTTATCATCAAATAATGGAACTTTTTATTCAGAAAAATATCAAGAATTTTTTTATTATTTCCACAAATTAGTGATAATTGCCTGCATTTACGCCCAAGTACTGGAGAAAAGAAATAACTTACCATCATTCTCTTTACCAGCTATGTATATATCACATCCATTTACACGATTTGTATGACCATATAAGGTAGTGATCTCAGCCCCCTTATGTGACCAGACTTTAACACTACCATCATAACAGGTAGATACATACAACCATGCTGAAAAAATAAATGTATGCACTGATTGACAAATGTTTTGGTTAACGTTCATAAAGTTAACATGAATATACACACAAAACAATGTTTTATGTGTTTCATGTGCCATGTTTCATGTGCCATGTTTCATGTGCCATGTTTCATGTGAACTATGTCTTTCTGTGCACATTTTGCTGATACTATAAGGTTATTACGAAGATACCTCAAAGTATGCATGAAGACAGTACAGCGACAGTATCGGCCGACGGGCAGCGGAGGTCGATGCGACGGCGTACTTAACCAGTACTGTTTTATATTTATAACAAGAGCTATGTTCATTATGTTCTACATTGTATGTAGCTATGTTGCTGATGTAGTTACACTCTAATATACCAGTACTGTTTTATATTTATAACAAGAGCTATGTTCATTATGTTCTATGTTGTTGATACCAGCTACTCACATGACACATTGTTTTATATCAGTGTACAACTAAAGTCATGTTCATAATGTTTTATGTTGTTATGTTGTTGATAGAGTTACACTGATGATATATTGTTTTATATCAGTGTTATAATTCATTATGCTCTATTTTTAATTACTATAATTATTACGAGGATACTGAAAAGTATGCACAAAGACAGTACAGCGAGAGTATTGCCAGATATGCAGTGGAGGTTGGTGCAACACTGTCTGAGTGCATACATTCCGGTATCCTCGTAATAACCTTATTATCATACATCTTTTCCTTCTAAGGATACATCATGGGAATGCCGAAATCCAAAAAGGTTAGAACAGATTTAGCAAACTTCTTTGTGTGGAGTCTGTCAAACCCTGGGGGCAGCCATGTTTGTTTTTATTATTAGAGGACGCTTATGCACGTAATCGCTCCCTATTTGGAATTCCCATTCCCTAATATGGTAGGATGAAAGTACCCAGTAAAATACTGCAAAATTACGGAACGCTGTACTTTATGGCATTACGATGACAGATGTATAATAATAATAATAATAATAATAATTATGTTCTATGTGCATATATGAATAAAATTTCATGTTGTCACATTAGTGTAACTTACTTTGAATGCTACAGAGTTAATAGCACTAGTATGCCCCACTAGCTTCGTCTTCTCTTTCAATGATACCATGTCCCAAATTTTCAAAGTGAAATCATTGGATGCAGTCACCTAGTATGGAAATAAACATGAAATGATCTATTAATCTTTCAAGAATAAACCAAGCATAACTACCTAGTAACAACTACTGACTACCATACCACAACATAAACCAAGTCTGACCATATACAATTACTAGGTAACAACTGTTGGTTATCACTCTGATCTGACCAATCTCAACTAGACATTAACAACTAATGGTTACCACTCACCACAATATCACCTAGATCTGACCAAGCACAACTACCCAGTAACAACTGTTGGCTATCACACTATAACTCTGATCTGACCAATCTCAACTAGACGTTAACAACTAATGGTTACCACTCACCACAATATTACCCAGATCTGACCAAGCACAACTACCTAGTAACAAGTCATTGTCAATGACACGTCCCCGTTCCGTTCATATTTGAGTGACATATACATTCAAAGCAGATCATGACCGAAATGCACCTGCATATGTACAACACATTGTGCTAAATCTGAACAAAATCCATCCATGCATGACTGAGATCCGGTTCTGGAATTGTGAAAATACGTGATTTTGATGCATTTTCGGCCTTAAAATGGCCATCATTCCGCTATTGTTAAGCAGATCATGAAACAAATGCACATATCTATTTGTGACATGATGTACCATGTGTGTGTGAAGTTTGAACTTGATCAATCCAGACATGTCTTGGATACGGATCCAGAACTGAATTCTTTAACAAAATGGCCGCCAGTCGGCCATTTCGAACTTGATCCGAAAAAAAAAGACGTGCATCAAGGTCCTATTATGTTTAATGTATGTACCAAATTTGAACAAAATCCATCCATGCATAACTGAGATACGGGTCCGGAATGGTGAAAATGTGCGATTTCAATGCATTTTCGGCCTTAAAGCGGCCCCCATTTGGCTATCGTTAATGAGATCATGAAACAAATGCACATACATATTTGTGACATGATGTACCTTGTGTGTGTGAAGTTTGAACTCGATCAATCCAAGCATGTCTCAGATACGGATCCAGAACTGAATTCTTTAAAACAAAATGGCCGCCAAAAAAAAAATGATGTGCATCAAGGTCCTATTATGTTTAATGTATGTACCAAATTTGAACAAAATCCGTCCATGCATAACTGAGATCCGGGTCCGGAATGGTGAAAATGTGCGATTTTGATGCATTTTCGGCCTTAAAATGGCCGCTATTCGGCTATCGTTAATCGGATCATGAAAAAAATGCATGTGCATATGTCCCATATAATGTGTGATGTATGAGTGAAGTTTGAACTTAATCGGTCCATGCATGTTCGAGATACAGGTGATCACGGACGCACGGACGCACGCACACAGGGCAAAACATAAGTCCCCGTTTTCGGACTGCGTCCGAACGGGGACTAACAACTGTTGGCTATCACACTATAACTCTGATCTGACCAATCACAACTAGACATTAAC